GATGAAGTATCTCACTTCAGCAGCAAAAATAGAGTTTAAGTTTGGCTTACTTAGCAAGGAAGCTTCCGGCCATTATCTCGAAATTCCAAATGCGATTGTAAAAGACAATGTCTTTGTTTTCTATAATATATTCTTCGATTCGCCTGTTCGGATTAATAACGCCCATGTCGGAGTCCACAAACAGCACATAGTCGAAGTTATTCTCTTGCAACAGTTGTGCTGTTACACAATGTCGCTGGAAAAAAAACTGGAAAAAAAGGAGCGTGATTTCGATTGCATAGAATTTGTGACAACACTCGACCGCACTTGTGATTTCAAGAAATTTTGGCTAGTCTTGATCGAGGCTAGCTCGTATATAATCTGCAAGCGCAGTCGCATTCTATTCAAATATTGAAGTACCCGTGTTTGTGCGTTTTCGTGTCCCTATGCCTATTTGTCTGTTTGTGTATTTTAGCTTCTGAACAAAAAACTAGGGAAGCTGAAGCTCGACGAACAGAAGCTAAATGTCGGATAAGCTCCCTGACAGTGTACAAGGCCAAGAATTCGTGTCAGCTTATATCCTTTCTTGTTGTCTTGACATACACTATTTTTAAAACAGTGAACAAAAAGCTGAGAGCCTAAAATTCTGCGGTTTTAGTTTCTCTGTTAGCTGAAACTCTTATAACACACTCTTGGCTTGTCAAGTTAGAGCAAGAACAACAGAAACGCAAACTGTATTAAGGGAGTACTCTCTCCAGTATAGCTTTATTGACCTCGGATAGCACGTTACATGACTCATAGTCCAGCTATGCCCCCTTTGCTATTTGTTTCACTCTGTCATTCTTTCTGGGCTTGCTTATGGCAGTAATTGCTTCCTGCCGATGGCTCCAAGAGAATACCTTAAGAAAATGCAAATGAACTCCTCTTCTTACTACTGCTGCACAAGTAGTCACAAAAATGCATTTTGAAACGATGTTTCTGTGGGTTATCTGTGGGCATGTTTTCATTGCCTATGCGCATGTTTTCGTCGCCTGTGTGCATGTGTTTGTTTATTTGTGGCGATGAATCGACTCCAGAGCCACAAAATCCAAGAAACTCGATCGTGAGTGAAATGTGCTCCGTCATCTGTGGATTTGAAATTGCATAGTAAAATATTTTTTACTCCAAAATTTTTCTGGTTTGCCTAATTTGTAGAGGAATTTTCTGGTCTCTTTTTATTATAAAATTTCATATGGCTTTGGAAAAAAAAGACTTTTTGTGATACAGATGCGACACATGTTTGAATGCTTTTTTTTGAATTTCACTGTACATCATGTTTGCAGCATATGTGGTTGTTTGAGGCAACTACTACCTGATCTTGAGAACAGAGGAGCTTTAGAGTATAGTTGCGAGAAATGTCCACTGCCAGCCAAGTATATCGTTGATGCATACAATAACACTCAAATGATTCCATCGCCAGGCGATACTCCTCGATATTACTCAGGTCTTTTAATA